GAAGAAGACCTTTCCCGACGGAAACGACGGGCAATATCGGCTAGCGGTACATCAGAGTCGGAACTTTCCGAATCAGCGTCCGCACTATCGGTTGGCGGGACAACAAACTTCGCCCGACGTGGTGGACGACCTGTCGGTTTGTGGGGAATCTCCCATTCATCAATTTTAGCAAGGCGAAGGTGTTCGGCGTGGGCCTTAGTAACGGTTCCATCTAATTGATTTCTAATTACAAAGCTTACAGGTGTCGTTTGGGATATAATTCTATAGTACGGTGCCCATTTGTTATCCAGTTTATTTTTTCGGAGATGGTTACGATAATACACGGGGTCACCGACTTTGAATTCAACGGGTTAGTATGTCTATTAGCATAGCGTTCTTGTCGTTGTTTGGCCCTTTTGAGATTTTTATGGACTAACATAAATGACTTGTGCTGCTGTTCAAGCGCGATTTGATGGAGTTCCTCTCCAACATACTTTCGTCGCGGTTGTAACAGGTTATCAACTGGCAGGACTACGTCTCTGTTATATAACAAGAAAAATGGTGAGAATTTGGAGGATTCACTGATGTTAAAGCGGACAGCTGCCAGCGTCTGATTGAGATGTACGCCCCATGCCGTCGTGTCATCGTCAAGTTTTTTGGCCAAAATATCATGTAACGTTCGGTGGAAGCGTTCTACCTTGGCATTACTTTGCGGATGATAAAATGCCGTCGTTAGGTGGCTGATATTCAATACTGCTAAAGTTTCTCTCATAACCGTATTTTCATTTTCCGTCCCGTTATCAGTAACAATCTGTAATGGTGCCCCATATCGTGGAAATATTTCCTTTGCAAAAGGAAACGGCGGTATATCTGTTTCCTGTAATGGGGGTTTTCGTTTCTGTAGGAATCTTTTTTGGCATGGAACACAATCAGATATGTAGGAATAGAGCTTTTTGTACAGGTTTGGCCAGAAATATTTTTGTTTAATTGCCTCATAAGTTTTATCTATGCCCATATGCCCGTTTTCATCATGATACTGTGTAACTACCTTGCAACGCAAGTGCTCCGGAACATATAACCTCAAGGTTGTCTTATTATCTGGGTCAGTTATGTAATACAGTACTCCCTCTACTAGCATGTATTTCCTATGTATCGCCTTACTGTCATCAGCTTCAGTCAGTTTTTGTATTAAATCAGCTATTGTCTCGTCCTTTGGCTGTTCCTGTCTCATATCGAGATCTAGCAAGGTCGGGCTCTGGTTGTCAATGTCAGCGTCACCCGCTATCTCAAAACTAGCAAAATCCTTGGGATCGAACTGATTGGAATTCAAGACCGCTATTTCAAAAGTTTTATCCGTAATGTCGGGGCAGTCATCGTTTGGGTTTGTATCGTCCTCTGTGGTGGTCTGCCCTGGGGACCTTGATAAGAGATCACCACAAGTATTTTCTGTCCCGGGTATATACTCTACTCGACAGTTGTAGCCTGATAGACTTAACGCGCAAAGTTGGATCTTCCTATTTTGCATTGGAGAGTCTAATATGTACTTTAAGGGTTTATGGTCCGTTCGAATAACAAATTCTGCGTAGTGTAAATAATGGTCTAATTTTTGCAAGGCGTAATGAATGGCATAGGCCTCCTTTTCTATAGTGGACCACCTAGTCTGTGTATCGCTCAGTTTGTGCGACAGAAAGTAAATTGGCCTTTCATTCTTAATGTTTGGCAAGAAGGCCTTTTCCCCTATTGCCGACTGTGTGAGACACGCGCCGATGCATCTGTCACTAGCATCTGTGTAAAGAATGTATGAATGATTGATATCAGAATAAGCAAGATAAGGTATTGCCGTGAGACTATCCTGTAAATATATAAAAGCTTTTTCACATTCCTGAGTCCACTTAAATTTCGCGTATTTCCTTGTTAAAGCTATCAGTGGCTCCGCGATGTATGAAAAGTTAGGGATAAATCTGCGGTAGTAGCTAGTGCACCCAATAAATCCTCGTACTTCCCGTACGTTTGTTGGTGCAGCCATTGCTCTTACAGCCTCAATCTTTTGCATATCCGGCATAACACCACCTTTGTTGATAGTAAATCCTAAATATTTCGTTTCGGTCTGGGCAAAAAAACATTTCTTCAGCTTAAGTCGCAAGTCATGCTGACGGAGTCTATTAAAGACAATCCTAATATGTTCCAGATGTTCCTCTATTGTGGGGGAAAATATTAGTATGTCGTCCAAATACGCTATGGCCATATGGTCTAACCCTCGAAGAACTATTGACATAAGTTCGGAGAACACAGCGGGTGCATTACTCAGTCCGAATGGCATAACGTTAAATTCAAACAAGCCTTTATGGCAAACGAATGCAGTTTTCTCTCGGTCTTTTTCGTCCATTAGTACTTGCCAATAGCCCGATTTTAAGTCTAGAGTGGTAAAGTAATGTGCCTTACCTAGCAGGGCCAAAATATCGTCTATAAGCGGTAATGCATAAGAAAAGGGTTTGGTTATTTCATTAAGCTGCCTAAAGTCGACGCAAAACCGTTTTGTACCGTCCTTTTTGTCTACGATAACTATGGGAAATGACCATGGCGACTTCGACCTCCTAATAATGTTTGCCTCTAACATATCCTCTACGGCTTTGTCAACTACCTCCCGTTTACGCAGGGGGTCCTGTAAGGTTTTAGTTTAATGGGCCCCTTACTTCCCGTGTCTATTTTCATGGTAACTGTGTCTGTATGGCTCAAGTCTCTGTCATTGTCTACAAAAAGATCCCTATTGGTGTGAATCGACTCTGTGACTACGCCCCTATGCTCTCGTGTTACTTTAATTTCCCCTAAGTTGTCCTTAGTTACGGTAGCCACCACAGATTTTGTCGACCGAGTATGAGTCTCAACGAGATTAGCTTGACCTAGGGATTCAGTCCTGCCAATTACACAACCGCGTTTTAGTTTATAATATTTGTTGGTATTATTAACAATCATAATGGCCAAGTGTTCACGGCTCGACACTTTTGTCACGGCATTACCGACCATGAGGCCAGGTTCGGTGCTGATGTAACCTGAATCCACAGGTTTTACCTGCAGTAGCTCTGCAGTTCTACGGTTTGTTGGTCCTACCCTACCAAGACATAAGTAGCTGTTTGTGGTTTCAGACCAACAATTTGCCTTAGGCGCACAAGTGATGCAATATGGATATCTTCCTCTAGTGGGACGTATTGATTCCGGAATCGTAAGGAACCTAGATCAAAATACAACCTCACGCCATTGTCTGTCAACCAGTCTCTGCCCAAGATAAAATTTCGATTCATGTCTGTGACCACATGAAATAACCGTGGTATCTCCTAATTTAAATTTTATATCAACACAACCTTCTACCGGCAATGTGTCCCCATTTACCGATTGTAGCTGAATTTTTGGCTTCCTAATAACAGGGAATGGCTGTAAATGCCCCAAAACGCGCTTATGTACTAGCGAGACATCTGCCCCCGAGTCAACTAAAGACCTATATCGCTGTTTCCCAATTTTTATTACACATGAACTCGGACTCCCTGCCAAATGTATCTTGCAAACTTTACTCTCCCCAGCGGTTTCATTCAAGGGAGAGCTACCTAGTTTTTTCTTTGTCTATATTGAGGGCACTCTCATTGAAAATGGCCCCGATTCCCACAAGCCCAACAGAGCTGCTGATATTGGCCCGGACCAGCCCCAGTTCGACGTGTTTTCGACATACATTCCTTAGCAATGTGCCCCGTCCTGCCGCAGTTGTGGCATTTACGGGTAGCTCTGCTATGTCCTACATCTATTGGCACTGCCGCAGGGCTAGTGTCCATGGGTTCCACATGCCTACCTTTGGTTACGGTATTAGTACGCAGCTGGAATCGCCGTCGCAAATTTTGTTCGGCCATAGCTACGTTCACCGCTTCCCGTAATGTTGGCGGATTTTCTCGCATTACCTTCATCTTTAAGCTATCATTAAGTAGCCCATCTACAAAGAATCCGACCAGTTGCTGCTCTACGGCTGGATTGCCCCTTGCATGTTAGCATAGGCCTCATCGGCCAAAGCCAACAGTTTTTCAGCAAAAATCTGGACGCTGTCGTCCGATTTCTGCTTGGCTTTCCGCAGCAGAAGAAAAGCATGCTGTGGATCGGTTATCTCCGAAAATCGGGAGGCAAGCTCCGCCTTAAGCTCTGCCCAAGTTCCCTGGGGGTTTTCTTCAACGTAACGTTTCACAAAATCTCCCACTGGGCCCTTACTAGCTTGATACGCTACTAATTTTATTCTATCAGCAGCTATCCCGGTTAACGTAGCATATTTTTCTATCGATCCTACCCACTCTTTAAATTTCTTCGGGTCCCCCTCATAGCTGTCTACTGCGCCTGCAATCCCCTGGGTGTTGATGGCCGACGTGAGTCCAGTTAATTGGGCTGTCAAGTTTTCTATTAAAACACCAGCATTTTCTACCATAATTAATTTACTAAATTTGTTAGAATAGGTCTATCCCAATTAATCACTCACCTTTATAGAGAATCTGTCCTGTTATATATCCCTTTCAAGATGTTGGTAAAGTTCATAAATCCATGGACACACATTATTTTGTTTCCTATGACCTCTTTTTCCTGTGTTCTCCCAGGTTCGAAATTCTGCTGAACGGCACCAAAAATATCCACGTGTGTTACACAATAATTACTCCGACACGTGGTATTTGGGTTAAATTTTATTTCTTGCCGTGGTTACACAAGATCCTGTTCAAGTCCACACCCATCTCCCGCTTAAGTTCCTACTTCCCTCTACAGGCCCGCATTGCCTTGTCTAGCTCCCGAGCTCTAATCTCCAACCACTCTCCTGCTCTTCTCCCGCTACTCTCTTGCTACTGTCTATTGTCTTAGTATTAATGATACCAAAACACTTCAATTCTAACTAAGCCCCGATTGGATGACAATACCCCACCCCGCGAGGCATATAATTATCAAGGCACGTGCAAGCTCATGTAACCTCATCTCAGGGATCCCGATGTACTCTACCGTCCAGTATGCTATCTACTCTGATCGACGATCCCTCCCCAGCTATCTCGCTACAGTGGCTAGGTGCGTGAGGCACACTCTTGATATCTAAGGGCTACCAAACTGCCTGTCCATCACAGGACGTTAACCCTGGTCCAGTGCCTGACTTTTGACACCTGTTGTTATTGTTTCCAGAGAACCTGTTGTACTTTAAATTTCTGTTTTAAATTATGTTCTCTAAATTGTATTTCTACTGCCCATTTTGTTACAATATTTCACATACATGTCTTATTTCAGGAAGCATGCGAGAAGAAATCGATTGCCCAGATGTAATACAAGGGCTGCTTAATCACTCGTATCCAAACCAAATTCTCAAGAAAGCAACAGATCTAAACTGCACCATATCGGACAGAAAATTTGCAAAATACATGGACGAAAGGGACCCTCTTCGGAGGATAAGACAGCTTTTCCACTACCCGAAAATGAAGGAGGTGGACGGACGTAAGTTCTGTATCCGAACACATTAAAACAGCTGCATGGTAATTAAACAGTTACATCAGAAACGCTTTTGCAATTAAGTTTCTCAATATTGTTTGAAACGAATAATTGAATATTAGTATATATCTCTCCTCTACCTTTTTCAATCTAAACTGAATCGTTTACACCAATGAATGAGGTTTTATGCAATGTTGTATTAATGATCTTAAACATTCTCTTGACTATCTCTGTCATCTAAGCCTGATGAATACCCAATATCACTACCTTTAGTCTTTCGTGAAGTAAAATATTTTTAGATGTTTGTGAAAATACTTATTTATTGAAGAAAAAGTATCAAATGAAAAACTTTAACATATTCTACTACTTTTGATTCCAATCGTATTCTTTATAAGCATTTTCAAATGAGTATTTTATACAAAAACTGAACAATTAATTTTGCTTGCTGTCCCATCGTTTTCTTTATAGCTGATCTGAGCTTAGTTCATCCTGATGAGGACTGTGTTTACTTTTGTGGAAATTCCCTGGGTCTGTGCCCAAAAGATGCAAAATCACACTTTGACGTGGAGCTTGAAAAGTGGGCGAAAAAGTATGTGTTTCTATCCAAAAAGCATTCCATTAACTAACTTATAATATGCATACCATTCCATTTGGGTTCGATTCCCGGAGCAGACGAGAAAGGTATGTGGACATCTCTCCGACAACGCGGATTTTCCCTGAACCTGGTTTCCTCTTATTAACAACTCTCGTGCTATTACATCAGGGCCATTATTCATCAATTGAAATAACTTGCTTTGCAATGGACGAAATGACTATAAAGATGATATGTAATAGAAAGGAAAACGGGTATTTTTTCACTTGTGTTTTTTATGTCTTTTTTACTTTTACTCCCTTATACATCACACTTTTACCAGCAAAAATAGTCAAATAATGATAGATATAGAAAATAATAGAATGAAGACACAAATTGTTTGGTCGGGCAATACACACTCAATATAGCATTACAGTACGTGCCACATATAATTCGTTTGAGGTCGTGTTACTACAACAGCTATGTCAGGGTTCCGGTTAGGTTATCGGTGATTATAAACATGTTTATTGTGGTGTTTTGGTACTTGCACCATGTAATCTCAAGTTCAAGAAAAGTTATGCATCATTGACCCACCTTAACGGACTTTTGCATTATATCTACTTAAATTCAAATAGGTCCCTGTGCATTTCCCTTTCATAATTTCTGGGAAGATGCCTAACCAACCCACAGACTTCAAATTCGACTTACCCACTACCCTGACATCCCTTCGACCTTGTACCTTGACACATTAAGGGTGTTTATTATGGCCTGTTGGTGTCACAAACTTGTTTTCTGCACCTATGTTTTCACGCCCAAGTAGACTTAAGTAGAAGATCGAGATTATTTCATTAGTGAACCAAGGTTCTTCATCATAACCTGTGTATATGGAATGAAGATGGATAGATATTGAGCCTCGTGATTCATTTATTTTCATGCAAAATATAATTACAGAAATATTTTACCTGTAAGTACTGAAAACAAAATGAAATACTTTATGTGCTCACTTACATTAGGGATGCACAATGTCTACACTTAATCTGATGATAAACATATAATACAGCATTTCATATATCTTACCATTAATTGATAACAACAACTTTTGTTTGGACGAAGTGCTAAGACGGCAAATAAGTCTGGGACAAAATATTGATAATTTTGGTTAAAATGACCTTTGGGAACAGCTTTGAAAATATCGTCTCAAGTTGTGAAAAAACTTGAATCCTTTACAAAAAGTTTGTATTTGTTTAAGCCGTCTGTTATTTGAATCATCCATCCATTTCTTTTCTGTTCACATTTATACAATTCTAGGTTATGTGAAAGATGTTAGTCTATATTATAGAATATGACTTACCGTTTTAATCTTTTGTTCTTTTGTAATAATATAGCCATTAAAGATTTTCAGCTTTTATCTTTTACCAGTTAGTAATAACTTTTGGAGAGGTAGTATTACAAAAAAGATATCGCAACCTATTTGATAAAACCTACAATGTTCAACCTACAAGGGGAAAGAAAACGCAGCAAAGTTGTAAAATGTATATAATTGTGGGGTCAAGTGACCTCCAAATTTGCTTTCGATCCTATTTCGACAACTCTGTTTGTGTTGCCCTCTTAATGTACAACTGTCGGTATTGTTACTAAGACGCGTCTAAGAAGGACGAAACTGCAGTATTTCATCATTTGGTTACACCATAGCTAAGGACAGTACTTGTTCAACAATTTTTATTTTGGAAACTCTTGTTTACTCCAAACAGGTTGCAGTAAAAACTGTCCGTCCGTCCGCGGGCTTTTTCCTGAGCTTTAAAGCCGTTAAACTCAACTTCACAAAATATATATATATATCAGCTTTGTGCCCTAGTTGTGTTGTGCCTTTTGCTATTCATGACAAGTCATTTTTGTAAATAATTTGTGTGTTACCTTGGTAACACAACCAATAGCAAAAGGCACAACACAACTAGGATACATACTTGATATATAAAGCTAACTAGTGCACACACTCGATATATACAGCTTTTTGTTAAATGTAGCTTTAAGTTCTTGATTGTTGGCTGGAATTTCAAAATCAAAGATTGTGTCAGGGGATTTGTGCCTGTACGTATACGTGTATGTTTGCATATCTACGTGTGTAATGAACTGCATTTTGAAAATGATTTCTACAATTCGTATTTCAGTTTTTTCAAACCATCTTATAATTTCTTACTACATATAAATACAATATCGATATTCTCTAACAATCGTTCAACATCAAAAGTACTTAGCGGGAATACTTTCAGTTATCAGTTATTAATGTAAAGTAAATCGAAAAGCACAAAAGTCGTTAAGAAAGAATGAAATGTAATAGAACAATTCTTATTTGTTCACTATCCATACTTATTTTTCCAGGGGTATGCAGGGCTACTTTCATCGAGGTCAGTCTCTACCTTGGACAAATTGTCACGAGTTTCTGGACATTGACATGGCAAGAATTGTCGGTGAGACTATCGAAAACTTGGTGTGTCTGTGAATGAAATTTACACAATGTGGTAACAATGTACTATTGTCGATTCGGCTATGTTTTGTTTCACATTTTGCCCCAAGGATACGTCGCAACGAGTCATTACTAAACGAGAATGAAGGGGTGGAGGGCGCAGACTCTCCTACAAGACTAAATGTTAAAGCATAGAAGAATGACTACTCTACATTGTTACCATCTAGCGTATTGTATTCTATAATCTGTTTACCCTCTCGTATTTTCAAATTTAGCGTACGTTGGATTATAGAACAAACGAAAAAGTTGGTCAATTCATTACCATCTCGTTTACTATGTACGTCTTTGCTAATACGCTTCACATCGGTTATTAGACATTGCCCAACAAGGGACAAAATGCGAGTTAAGTATAAGATGCATCGATAAAAAATCGATGTATTATTTTCTAGAACAGGTTTTGTCTATCAAAATCTAAAATCGATGGCTGCAGGTCAGTTTATTCATTAATTCCATCAGGAATGTGCCGGAATAGGCAACCATTCAAAAGTCGGTTTACATAAGTAGCCGCTTCCGCCAACATTGCGACGAAGTAGGATGACAAACAGTGTACTCTGTACACTGTTACAAACCACTGGGGTTATGAACTTCCATTATTAACACATAGTATTGAGGTGGAACCTAGTGGTAACAAACTGTTCCAATTAGCATGGCAACACCATGATATTGTATGCAACTATCAATTTCTTACGGCAAACCCCATTTCGCCACAATATATTTGTGGAACATTGAATACAAGATATGTTGATTCCAGAAAACATGGTTTGTAGTTAGATTTGGAACAATGACAACAACTTCACAGAACTTAGATGGGAACAAAAACACGGATACGACATGAAATTAATTTTATTTTCATTTTTTTTTTTCATTAATACGTAACCGCAAAAACGTATTCCATATATATATCAATGTTAACATTGCATTCATTTTCTTCTAAATGTATCTTTGGTGTTTCATAGGAAGCAGAGCTGGTGAAGTTTCCATCATGAACGCACTGACTGTAAATCTTCACCTTTTGCTCGTACGTATGCGTAAATATTACTGTGTATGATATAAATTTTACCATAATAAATGACATTTTATAATTGTTCCTCTCTCCATCCCTATTTGAACATATGGACTCATTTACATCAAATACTAGGATAAATAGAGGTTTTTCTACGTTCCCGCCGAAGTAACAACTCGATATGCAATGTGATGTAATACTTAGTCAAAAGATACAATGTCCATCAAATTTGGTAATTCCCTGACACCGAGGTTCATACCAAAGTTCATTACAATACATGATATCTAAATATCATCCTTTCGCATGCCCGCCGTGTCATTCTGTGCTTTATTCCCCACGCTTGACTCTCATACTTATGTAACCCAGGCAGTTGTTAAAATGTGGCATGTTAAAACCAATATCAAAGAGCCCATATGATGTTTTCGACGCAGAAGGAAAAGCCATTATTATATTGAAATGGTTTACGTGTCTAAGATGGTAGACGCATGAATATGATATATGCTTGTTGTTGAGATGTATTATAGCACAATCGATGTGATCTCTCTGACGTATATTACCGAACAGGTTTCAAGCAGGACACACCTTTCGGTCACAATGAAGGTTGAAGGTTGAACATCGTATTAAATTCAATTTAATTGTAGCACAGACTGTTTTTGCACTTACAGTACATATTTGACTCTGATTTGCACCACTGTGATGGATCATTGATAACACGAGGGTGAAATCGTTGATTGAAACAGGAATAATGACATTTTGTAAAAGGATATCCTGATCTAGACAAGACTTACCCCAAAAATGTAATGCGGTGTAACAACGGTAGGAGGAGTCTATCCGTATCAACACACTGAAACATGTTTGTGTTGGTTTATCTCTACAGGTTTCTTTCTACAGACCAACAAAGACACGACATAAGATTATGTGTGAAGGGAAACCTTTCTCATCTGACCTTGTAAGTCTAACTCGCTTGAGATATTTGACAACAGTACGCAGATGCAAGGCAAATATAAATTTTCTGGTATTTTTATCTACCTTTACAAGGTACACATAATAACTTTGATTTGGCAAGAAAGTGAAAACAATTTCTCCAACGTTTTATGCCCATTCCGACGCCACTTTTAAGTCTAGTGATTTATAGCATAGTGTCATTACGATGGTACTTGTGCAGTTTAACCTGGAGTTTACATCGATCGAGTTAGCAATACTGACGATCAGCAGATACTTTATCCACATATCATGCAAACGAGGATTTCTACATAGTTAAAATAATTATTCAATAACCAATAGACAGGAATATAATGCAGACAATCTTTACTTAGACATGTTATTTTGGACCTTTCTTACACTTAAGTTGAAGTCTTTTGTATATTGGTCTCTTAAGTAACTTACAGTTTAATATTTGTTTTTTTTCTTTTCCACACCACATGTTTGCCTTATTTTATCGTGTTATTGTACGTGTAGTGTCTCCAGTAACTGACAGTTAATGTTCATTACACAGTACGCGTTCAAGAGTCAAATCCGACTGCATGGTTTTAATCCAGAAAAAAGCCTGCTGTTTCTTGAACCAAGGGAGGTAAGAGCTAGTATAAATATGACAAAACAATATTGAAATTTTGCCAATACATATCGTCAATGTCATGTTTTTAATGAACGAGGTTTTTAACACATTTATATCGCATAGGGATTTTTTCCAGCGAAAAAAAATCACATAAAAAGCCAGATTTATGTAATCGATGTAAAATTCATGTGGGAAGCAATATGAAACACTGACAACAGAACAATGAAATGATGTTTCAGGGCGAGTTTACACTTAGAACAGAAGATATTCTGACAAAGATAGAGGAAGAAGGCGAAACAATCGCTGTGATTTGTTTCAGTGGTATACATTACTACACTGGTCAAATGTTTGACATGCGGAGCATAACACGTGCGGGCCACGCCAAGGTATCTATTTGTATCAATAACGTTTGATGATAGATTGCAGCCAAATTGCGCTCCAACACCACGTCAAGTCTGTAACTGTTCGCAAAAAGGAATCACCTTATGGTAGTGTCTGGATTTTTACAAAAATTTAATGATCATTATTCGAATTATGCGTACTACTGAACAACATGAAAATTGTAAGTCTAAAGTGGCAAGGGAACCTTGATTATAAATTTGTATCAGGTTGAGAAAACATCTGCATGGCACTCTAATGATAGTTTCATAGGTTACTGCGAGGAAAGTCTGACCGGGCCCGCCTGATTTTGCTTACACAAATCGTATTAAGCTCATGTCGAGTACGTAGCAGGTTTAGAGCTGGTTGATTCAGTGTCATTATTAATGAGGTGTTGTGGCCATCCCAGCTCCTTCAGTGGTCAATGAAGACCACGTGTTTGTTATGCTAAGTATGACCTTGCAAGTTGAAAAGTTTTGCTACAAAAAGGTCATGGAGTTTCTGCTAGATGAAACACCAGTGATAGTTGATCCTAAGTTTAAGTGGTATTTTGGTCTCCCAATCACACAGTATATGACAATTTGCATAAGTAAATAGATATGTTTCATGATTAATAAACAAGACACTGTCTGAATAATGTTATAGATATTTTTTAAATCACATAATAATTTATAACTATGTTTTATGTTCTAGGTATGTGATGTAACTTGAGTCATATTTTGAGTTTTTATTAAAAGATCGATCGTTTAGAAAATTGACAATGGAACATTCGGTACTTTCAATATCACTATTAATCCAATATAAATAAGTAACGCACATTTTTATTTTTTATGTACCGGTAATACTATGTACATATTTTTGTATTTCGGTCCTTGGAATCGTAGTAAATGGGATCAGGAAGGTTGCAAAACGATATGTTCACCAAACATTAAAAAAAACTGATATTAATGAATTCACATAAGTGAACGTTAAACTAGATATGTTTCTGCTGTGGTTAAGATTGGTAATAACGAAACTATTATTTCAGGGATGTTACGTGGGGTTTGATTTAGCCCATGCTGCTGGAAATGTTCCGTTACATCTGCATGACTGGGGCGTAGATTTTGCCTGTTGGTGTACATACAAAGTAAGATAAAAGGAGAAGTATGAAATTAACACGAAGGTAACAATTCACAGTCCATGTTTCAAGTTATTTAAAATTCATTTGATTTTATAACTTTAAAATATTAGAAGAAATTGCACTTGGAAATTCCATTTCGTTGATTATGGTATGCTGCTATATTAATAACAACTAAACCATGAGTATTGCATGTAGGTTCATTTCAACTCATTATTCAGTAAATGGACACAATCGTGGATATAACATGTACTAACAATCACAATTACGATATGTTGCAGTATCTAAATTGCGGTCCGGGAAATTTAGGATGCATTTTCCTACACGAAAGACACAAAGACAACGATTTTCCAAAACTACTAGGATGGTGGGGGCACAACGTTAAAACAAGATTCAATTTTGACAATGGTAGGTGATATAGATATTAATCATGTCAATAGAACAGTTTTAATAGACAAAATGGTGGATTTGTCACACTTGCCTCAAAGATTTTAGGTCACGTGGCCTATTGCAATCGCATTTGAACGGTGTCATAATCAACTGACGTTTTCGACTTCTTTGTTGATATTGGACCTGTATGATGCTAGCGTTGAGGGCTACCAAATTTGTTAAAATGAATGATCGAGTGTGTTGAAATATTTAAACATCTTCTCAATAACTAAAAGGCAAATGTTACTAATAATAAGGCTGTAGCATACTGGGATAGGGGGCTACCAAGTTGTCAATAATTAATCACGTTGTTTCCTTTTCAGGGTCACAGGAATCAATTGTGTTGAAATATTGAAACATTTTTCTCAATATTCAAAATGCCTATATTGCCGATATATTTGCATGCTCGTTTGTTAAAGTTTGTTAAAACGATTGACCTTGACCAACTTTCACGATCACAGGGGTTAAAATATGTTTAAATGTTTGTTTCTCAATAAGCAAAAACACAGTATCATGCTGGGGTGAAGTGCTTTCAAGTTTGTTCCTATGATTGACACTGTCATACTTTCATGGCCGTCTTCTCAGTAACCAAAAGAAGAATTATGCTGATATTTGACCTGGAACATTCTGGAATGAAGTGTGTTTGTTCATTCTTTCAAAGACACAGGTATCAAATATGTCAAAACAGTTCAATGCCTTTTCAATATATAAAAAGGCACAGGTTGCTAATGTAGAGCCTGTAGTATCCTTGGATGAAGTGACCCCACGTTTGTCTATATTACCCGACTTATATGTCGGGGGTGTCAAATGTGTTCAACTTTTTTAAGCGACTTCTTCTCAATAACTGAAAGGCCCAGGGTGCTGATATTAGGACAGTAACATGCTATACTGACGGGTTATCATTTCTGTTGTACATGAATATCCTTTACATTCATTCAAAGTCACAAGGGTCAAATATGCTAAACTACCGTTACGGCCAATATTATTATTTTCAGTCTTTTTACTGTAAGTTGTCCGTCAGCTGGAACTCCAGCTGACGCATTATTGATGAAATCCAGTACCGCTTGTTCAGACTTAGCAAATTATAACAAAATGGCAGCGCCTATATATGATATTAGCATTTTTCATTATTGGACTATTATCCGACAGAAAAGTGTAAAGGTATCTTTTGATAAGCTAGAAATTTAGAGGTAGCAGCCAGAGTTTTCTATCCTCCGGGTTCAGCATTCACTTCTTGTTTGAATTTTCAGTGAATTTACTATGTGTAGTTAATCATCTAATGCTTGAATAGAATCATATTCCAAAGAAGTAACCGAAATAGGTTCAATTCAAACTGAAGTATTTTTTCAAATAATCAGGCTGGACATGTGTGCTTATCGTTTGTTCGCCTGTTGGTTCCGTTGCTGTATACCTTGTTAACCATGAGAAACGTGACATAACTTGATTTGATTATATTGATATGGCAGGTGTTGTCGAGCGGAATACGCTTACTCTTCCTGAACATCTGGTCTTATTCTGGAAATTTTTTTTTTATATTTTAATGCCATTTTGGTATTGCTTTTGTAGATAAAAATCAATTCAGCATTTATGTGATTCACGTGTTCATAGACGTAATTATCTAATAATACACAGGTTACATATATTGCATTCTTATGGTTAACAGAGATTGACCTTTGTCCGGAAGCATATGCTTACAGAATAAGCAATCCGTCAGGACTTCTGTATCCATCAATGAAGGCTAGTTTGGAGGTGAGATCCGTTCAATTGTTGTGAGCTCAGAGGAAGCCTTTCTGAAGAATATTTAAAGATAGAACAAGACAGAAAAAAGTAGAATCTGGTATGAAGTCACTCAGATTTTCCTAAATAAAAAAGTTAATAAGACAAAGGAAATATTCAGCATAACCATTTAACTCTTTACGTACCGTATTTCCGGTCCGGGTTCTGTACCGGATGTCGTTTCTAGGCTCATCCCCGCACATGTGCGCAAAATGGCGGATCATTTGTGTTGTTTTCAGACGAGGTGTAAATTCTGCTAAAAATGCAGGTAACCGTCTACCAATGTTCTTATCGCTTGTTGTTTTGTTAAAAGACATATACATGTATTCACAACATTATGCACGACTGACAGCTGTCTTACAACCAAAAAAATCTTGGTGTTATCGTAAACGAACTGCGATCCATTGTCTTCTTTAATACAGTTTTAGAGTGTTGTCTTCAAATGGGAATTTAATCGATTTATTTTGGCAACATCAGCCGTAAAAAGCTTCAAAGTAAAGATAAATGTATATGTGAATAGTGAAAGAGAACTATTATTGCTCATTTAATACTAATTTTCACTTTATACTGAGAACTACGTATAACATAATTCGTATCAGATACGCTTGCCGCCATGTTGTTTTCATTGGTGATGACATTGCTCAACATCTCGCGGGAAATTTAAACAAATTGGGTTACATGATGAAAATTGTATACTTTTTACCTATCAAAATCTTCGTTATCAAGTTGAGAAGCCGGTAATTTGTGAAAAACTCATCTGTCGTCTGCTATGACCAACTTATCCTAATGCACGTAATATCAAGTTTCTCGTCGTGTGTAAACGACAACGGGGATGAGACGTCATATTTTTTGTCGTGTGTACACGACAACGGGGACCAGGAGGCACATTTATTTGTTGTGTACACGACAACGGTAAGGAGAGAGTTAATCAGGAAAGGGATTAAGTAAGTAGGTTTTCATAATAAAGAAATACCTTGACATCCAACGATTACAGGAAAACAAGATTTTCATATGTTTAAACATTTTAGATATTCAACCAAACATCGATGGATGACATACGAAACAAATCAATACTTCTCACGGCTTATATGGAATATCTTATCACCAAAAAGTATGGCAGGCCAGATCCTAAGGATGCAGCATTTCAACAAATACGCATCATCACCCCTTCGGACCCAGGTGAACGCGGCGCCCAGCTGTCACTTTTACTTTCTGCCAATGTCTCATGTGTTTATACAGAGCTTATAAAGAGAGGTGTTTTGGTAAGTGTTAAAAAGGAAACTAGTTTTGAAACTGATGTGTAGATATTTGTTTCTTTATATATGACATTTTCACCGTATTTTACTATAATTGCTCGATTCATTAACGTCATATTCGAATAACGTACATTTGGAATATTTTTGTAACATATATGTTCTAATATCACTTAATCCAGTAACAAAAGGTCGCTCGATATATAACGCAAGACGATAAGCTTCTCCCATCATATTGCATTAATGCTACTTTTTTAAGAAATCATATCTTTGACTTTTAGTGCGACTTAAGGAAGCCTCATGTGATCCGCGTGACGCCTGCCCCACTCTACTGTTCTTTTGAAGACGTCTATCGCTTCATGGATTTCCTTGATCAGGCAATGAATGTTGCTACTCATTCCAAAAATGCCAACAGAAAATAAACTGTTTAAAGATTACACAGATTTACTCGAATGGTTAAAGTGGCACAAAGTTGAAATAATTGAATTGACTTATTAAGGTTTTGTTATGTAATAGCGAAAAACATTAAGCAATGCATGTTTTGTGTTTTTAAGTTGGAAGAAAGATGAAGACTTGAAGAAATATTTCGTACATGCAAATTGATTTTTATGACAATTAATCCTTGATTATATATGCCTGTATTCGCTTGCTTTTTATCGGTTGTCTGTGTGGAGTTAAGTATAGATTTATTCAGAAATCCTCTGAAAGACCAAAGGGAACATACGCACGAACTTTGAGAGATATGCAATCAGTGCTTCTTAAGAAAAAACCATAACAAAGTTTCAGAGTCAAAATCGGAGATGGCCACCTGTCGGCCGTTTTGATATATTTTGATCTTTCAACAAATTAGATGAGCACAACAAGGGTCGAAAAGGAGCCAACCTATGGATTTAGCAAAGATCTATGCAAAAAGTCTCACGAAATAGCGATTACAAACTTGCAAAGTCATGATTCAAGATGGCCGTCTGTTATTCATGTTATTTTTATGATCAGATCCAAACTTTAGTGTGCATAACTAGGGACAACAATAAACCAATGAATGGAGTTTGAGAAAGATCTATAGAAAACTTCTCGGGAATCATTATTAATATAAGGACATTCGTAATGGTCCGTTCACACATAAATTGATATTAGGGCCATCAACTGGTAAAACACGCAGTAATCCTAAAAGGGAATAACATCAAACAAACCAAAAGGTAAAAGAAAAATGCTAGAATTGTTATATTGGCATATAATCACAAAAAATAAAATGGTACGGCAAAGTCTATTAAACAGACCAATATCTTTCTGATTACCTGGAATGTTCCAAATCTCAAAAGTTTCAGAAAGGGTCTTTAAAAAAAGTCTCGAGTAGACAGAAGGGTACGGATGATAGGTTTTACGGAGTGCAATTTATCATTGGTATGTGATTCCATTTCTCCTGACACTGAATCAGTAAAGTGAAGTTTAAAAAACAATGAAGCTTCCTTTGTGGCACGATTTACTTTTTTCTATTGCCTGGAGGGCGCTCTTTATGTCGATGAATTCATTATATGATGTCGATCTAAGCATATGATTACCATTTAAAGTTAGCTACAACAATGTTTGAATCGACTACAAATTTGGGTAGATGAAAATGGTTTTAAATGTTCACAATCAAAAACAGTTTGTATGCATTTTTGTCAAATTCGGAAACAAAACAATGATCCAATTCTGTCTCTCTGTGATGTACCAATGCCGTTTGTTGAGCAAACTAAATTTTATGGTGTAATATTCGACAGGAAAATATCGTTCCTTCCACATATAAAATACCTTAAAGCGAAATGACTTAATGCACTAAATATTCTAAAAGTTGTGTCCCACACTAATTGGGGAGCCGATAGAAACGTTTTGCTAAAACTCTATAGAGCTCTTATTAGATCAAATTTAGACTACGGTTCAATCGTGTATGGATCTGATAGACCTTCATATATCAGGTTATTAGACACTGTTCATCACCAGGGTCTCAGGCTCGCTTTCGGAGCTTTTAAGACCACACCTACAGCAAGCCTTTATGTAGAGGCTAACGAACCATCACTATATAGCCGTCGAAATCAATTGACTTTGCAATACACCATTCAGCTAAAGTCAAATCCTTCAAATCCTGTTTTTACACTGGTATTTGCTCCAAAATATAAAACCTTGTTTCAAAAACAAACCAAAAACTATTCCATCATTCTATTCGAATTTCCGCTCTCTTACAAAACACAAATATTGATATTGACCAAATTCAGTCATTTGGAAAGATGGAAATTCCACTTGACTTTTTACTTGATGGAATGGTTAAATCATCCTTCTCGAAATTGCAGCTAAAATATCAAACATGTCTACATGTATATACTGGTGGTTGAACAGAAAATGATAAGGTTGCCGCGGCCATGTTTACACAAGATGAAACTTATGAATGCCGGCTAACGAACAACGTCTCAATAATCTCTGCGGAAACGCAAGTTATCTACCTCGCCCTTGAATATAGTCAACGAAACAAAATAATAAGAGCTTTTATCCATTCAGAATCCATATTTGTTCTACAAAGTCTTAGCAATAGAATTATCGCTGGGTACATGGTAATACCGGGCAACGAAAAACGGATCGTTCCGCAAAGGAAGCTTTGTCGCTACCCTCTGTTGTTTTTAAACATCATTTTACCAATTTTAAACCATTTATTAAACAAATTTTAAAAGCTCAGTGGCAGGAGGATTGGAATACATATACCAATAACAAATTGCACCCTGTAAATCCTATTACCGGTGAATGATTTCCATGCCATAGCGACAACCACCGAGACGAAGTAGTCCTTGCCCGTCTTCGGATGGGTCATGCATTACTAATACATTCATATATGTTGAAAGGCGAAGATAATCCTAGGTGCAAAGGATGTGATGAGCCATTCACCGTTTAACAATTTTTATTGGACTGTATTGGCCTTCTGTCTACTCGATAATGTTTTTATCGCAACATTACATGTCTAAAAAGCCCTACATACAACATATACACATATGCTCGAGATGGTTCTCCTGTCTAAACTAATATCAAAATCACTGAAGTATGTTAAAGCGTGATAGTCGATATTTCTCGGATATTGAAAGTCATCTCTATTTGAAAAAAAAACAACAACAAAAAACTGGATGATTTCTCAGCATTTCTTAAGCGTCATACATATCACTTCTGTACCATTTGTGGCATCCTACCATACAGTTTGCGTGAGATGAAACAGTAAAGGTGTACGAGTCGAGCCGCAATACATTCTTATTACTGATGTTATGTATAAATGTTGTGTATTTATCCAAATTCAGATGTATCGTGTTCACATGCATTGACTTATATTTATTGTTTACATAAAAACGTGTTTATGATTATTTGTCACAATATGTGTAGACAGTGCTAGGCAGATTTTTTCTAGAAAGCGCGTTAACTACAATGACCTGTGTGTTTCTGGAAGTTTCTAGAGATACATGTAAACAAGCTAGGTACCTGCTAGTCTAGAATCATCTAGACAAGAACTTTCTAGAAACCTTTATTGTATATAAACATGATGGAACTGAGCCTGAGCAGCCTTTTGAAGTATTGACATCTTGAGTGAGATTACTTTGAGACTGTGAAGTGTGGACTTTTACAGTGATTTAGTGATATTACCTTTTGAATTGTTCTTCGGTTACCCTGTTTTCTGGACAATCTATTGTGGATTCTTCTGGATTTGGAGAATTTCCACGGAAAGATAATTTCTGACTTTTGATTAATTAGTAGCTAGCTCTGTATACCATCACACTATTTGTAACTTTACTGCATAGCATTTATTTGTTGTTATTAAATTGTTGAATTTTAACCTAGCAATTGGAGTTTATTTGATGTACGTTAATTTCATAACGTAACACTGAATATTAATATCTAAGGTCGTGCTGCTGTATATTCGTATGTTAAATGTAGAATGCCATCCGTATGTTAAATGCCGAATGCCGGCCTGGTTGAAAGTGATTTGTCGGACTGCGAGTCATCCACGCTCATATGACGAATGTCGGATTGTTGAATACGTCTGATATCGTTTTGAATAATATATACTGGGCCAGCAACAGCTTAATCCAATACACATCAAATATTGCCGAGAATATGAGCTTGATGATTGACGTGTAGTTGCTTGATCAAATTCTTCATAGTCACCATTTACATGATTGCCATTGCAGATTTATAAAAAATAAATATATATATACTAGTATTATGCCATATAATTATTTGCTAGAGGGATTACTATTTGAGTCTTTTATGTTATGTGAGCTTTCTTATTGAGACCAAATCTCAAGTATATTTTACTAAAGAGGAGTGTACTTTGCGTTCAACGACGATAATATATCACAGGTGAGTATTTGTGTTGGTGAACTTTTGGCAGGATAACTAGTTAACGCTATCATATTTTAGTTTCTCTCTAGCAGGAATACGATTCCAAAACTTCAATAAGTTAAGCGACATCGTCAAAGTAAAAAGAATCAAAGAAAGAAGTTCAAAATCAGAGAAAGATGGAATCCGGAACTGACTTTTTGATTCACGGGGTGGTAACTCCTTAACAACACGCCAAGTCGATTACCGTACAATGATGTAAATACTTCTGCAATGAAACGGTAATGATGAATCCACCATCAATCATATTATGGACTGTGCATATTAATTACTTTCATGCTTTATGTACTTTACAGTAACTTTGAATAGGTCTAAACAAATATATTCATCTTTGATTAATTTGAATTTGCGGTAAATATACTATTTTTTCATGATTAATTTAGTAAGCTAACCGTATGCTGAATTCAGATATCTTTTCAAATGTTTCCAAATGTACTATGTATCATTTTGGTTATATGGTCAAAACTCATGTTTGTATAATTTTGCTTTACATGTCTTTACATTTTACAAGCAGCAATGCAATTATTGATTAACATGATTAATTTATTCAATATTTTTCATGATTATTGATGTTTTAAATTACCATTGAAAACGCACTCGCCTTTCACCTAGTCTTGCGGGGTTCAATTTATCAAATGGATGGGGTCACCTGCCCGACCACGTAGGTTTTCCCACAGTTAGACCCATCGCGCGCTTCCATCTGAGCCAACAAGAGTGATTAATATCAGTTGGAAGAAATTGTTTCGCATTTCTTGTAAACAAACTATATTGATGAAGTTTGACGTACAATAGACACGAATTTGTAACGTTATAATAACCTGCGTCTTATGGCTATATCATGGAAATTAGGAGTTTAGTGTCATTAAAAAGCATGTCTCGATATCATAGTCTGATGTATTAACTTTTGATCAGAATTGAAACATTGGATAGGATAAAAACATGTAACTTTCCTGAATAAAATATAACAATGTTGATGTTAATTGGTATTTCATTGTCACGATAGCATGATTTGAAAATGATTAAAGCATACTAACTAAATCTATTTTGCGGAAATTCTACCATGTTTGCATTATATTTCCTTCATTGGGAATTTGTTTATATTCAGAGAGGAAAACATTAGCAGTAGTAAAATATGTCTGGATAAATCATCGATTGCTTTCCCCTTTGTTTACAATGAATCGTATATAATGATATACCAAAATTATCTCTATTTAGCACTGCTTCTGGAACAATTTAAATAATGATAATAAAAGACTCATTTTCAGACTGTCGTCCTGGCATTCATCTGTGTATGTTAAATTGTGCGAGTGCTACATTTTTTATCAAAGTGATCTAAACTCTTGAACGGAAATCCAACTCATCTTTTTATTTGTTCTAATAGTTTAGATTGGTAAACTATATATATATATATGACTATAAGCTTATTAATGTGGAAAGCGAAACTTCGCTATTCAAATGTTAGTTTTTTTTCAGTTCTGCACAAGTCTAAGACCATGACTTTGAAAGCTGTTAATGAAGACTGATTTCGAAATAAGAAACAACTTTTGAAATATTGATATGAAAACAACTAAACACATGATACCCATATTCTTCAATTTCCGCAATATTCATTCAAAGCGAGTGCCCATGTCATGTTGTAGACTCAATATCACGACATAGCAAGTATTGGTTATAGAGATAAAGTCATAGGTAATTTCCATTGACCTCAGAGACATAGAATTTGCATACTAGACACATACCATGACACTACGATAACCGTTCACATATTTTATTAAATCTGAAACATGATAATAAGACAAGAGGATGATTTCTGCACTGTTTTCAGATAAATAACGATGATGATATTTGTAGTCTTTTATTCACCAACCGTATTAAGTAAAACATTCAGGCTCAAAGCACAGATGACAATCGAAAAAGCCATAGAAATTGATAAATAAATTAATAGATAATTTTAATTTTTTTTCTCAATAATCTGTTCTGTTTGACGTATACCATCACCGTCATTAATTGTGTGTGAAGTTTCATCAAAGAATGATACCGCTATACATAACTAGTAACAGTGACCTTCACAATAAGGGTGTTCTGGTTTCCGGAATATCCCGGAAGGGATAAAATGGCTAAAACGCTGCATGTTTCTTATTTTCTCCAGTTTTCCGTCGCCGGGGGACAGAAAAAGTAGATACTTTCTTGATGACTGGGTAAGCACAAGGGTTGAGTAGTATATTGTATATCTGTGTAGACTGGTAAGTAAAGATAACATGGTAATTTGTTTAGTTAGCAACCAATGGTTGCTTAAGTGTATAGAGGCTATGGTAGTATTAGGAGTATTCTTCAATCCGGACAGGTTGATAGTCTTTACATGACCACATATGTATTTTGTTTTCCCCGTGTCTTCTCCATCTAATTGTCGCATCCAAATGATGATCATACATCGCAAACAAACCACCTGTATTGAAGGGAAAACAGATTACTACATACGTTACAACATTGTTGAAGATCAGAAACGTCATTTGTATTGAAGGGAAAACATAGATACAACATAGTTGTAGATCACCTGTTTATCAAATAAAGCAGTTGCATCAATATTATTCTTGTTTACGGCCTCTCATGGTAATTCAAGCGAAATCTGTCCTACGTCATACATCATCATCAGTAACCCTCCTTATTACTTCAACAACCCTGATAGCAATCATGGACATATTGAAAAAACCAACATCGTATCAGTGATTTATTTTGTTATATACATGTTTCGAGCAATCACGACTTCACAAAAAGTCATCTTATTAACCTCATCAAAAATATTTGATGTGTCGATGATTATTTTTCCTAACAGTAATATATATATATAGAATATATATGTGTGTGTGTGTGTGTGTGTGTGTGTGTGTGTGTGTGTGTGTGTGTGTGTGTGTGTGTGTGTGTGTGTGTGTGAACAGAAAAGGCCAACAAGGCTAACGTTTTCAAGCCGTGTCTTCAGGCGATTACTTTAATGTCTTGTTGATATATATACGGCAGTGTATTTTCGTTTCAATGTATTGTTATAATATCATGACGAGTCAAGTCAAGAGACTGCTGAACTAAACAACGGATATAGATCCAAGGCAACAGATTGCAAAACCATCCATCATCCATGATGTGAACAAAAACATCAAGAAAATGCATGTCACCGCTGCCACCAAAAATGTAAGGGATTTCCTTTTCAGTCCGGGTCCTTTTGGCTATCAGTTGCTTTCGAGAGCGCCCTCTGCCGAGTTGGCGTAGCCGCAAATTATTCACAAACAACAGTTGTCGACAAATACAGGTTTTATTTGACACAGTTCACAAAGGACATTTCTACAAATAATACTCTCACAGTAGACATTAAGTAGACAGTATTTGTGTTGCTATTGGGAGTACGCCTCTAGGTGTGAAATTATGCGTAAGTTAAGTAATGCGCCGGCAAATTTGGTGTTACTGGCCTAAACAGACTTGGCAGGCGCAATGACGGCGTTACGCCCGCATTACGCCGGCGTCAGTAACAGCGTGTCTTTAAAAGTACATTGACAACGCAGTGTGAGGCACCCACATCGCCGTTGACTATCCCTCTTTCGCCCGTCCCGTGATATTCTTAACCGGCGTCCTTGGCAACCTGTCGCCAATCTCCCGGCGCCCGCGTTGCCCCTTACGCCAAACCCTGACGTCTTCGCCAAACTCTATACTTCAGCGATATACCCGGATTTACTGGCGATGTCAGTTTTTCCTCACTGCGTTACCATGTGCACCGTATTCATGCCCTGGTTGCTCACCAACTATCCTTGTGTCCTTTATCAGCTCCAGCGAATGAGAGACCTGTGACACTGAAATTCCGGCCTTATATACCCGTAGGCTAACCTCAACAATGAGGACGTACTCCCTTATCGTTACTAAAGGCGTATGCTATATGAATTCAATTCAATTACAAAAGCTCGTGCATGGACAAAAGGTATTACGCTTATATACAGAGCAATGCTACAATACGTTACGCTCAAATGATTCACAGGTAAACCGATATACAAAAACAAATAAATATTAGCGTGCACTGAAATAACAAATGTTTTTACAATTAACATCAAAATTACGAGGACCATGACATAGTGCAAATTTATATAAAGCACAAAACATTACACTACCCACGCCTCCGGGTTGGACGTCCCGGCCAACTGTTGCTCAAAAGGGTATGTACAAATTTTACAAACACATGAACACATAAAAACGGAAGCAAAAAAAATATTACACAGGAATGTTTTTGCTGGAAAGGAAAATTAATTTTTTTTTTTTTTTTTTTTTTACAAATATACCCGAACATTACTTGTATTATTCTTTCAATGTCATTAATAAACAAGGTAATCAAAAAAAATCAAACATCTCCTCCTGTCCACGTTAAGTCAGATCATTTCCTCCAGGTCGTCCCATGTAACTACATGTATGCTGGACCGCACTATGGTTTCTCTGTCCACAACTGTAGTTCTCACTGTGGATTCTTCCCGCCTGTGGTGTTTTACTCGCACCTTACACTGTACGCCGAAGCTACGCTGAAGCGGTGTGGCATTGCCCTTCTCCAGTTCCGAGTCACCAACATTCGCCTCTGGGAACAAAACTGTCGAAGGTACGGTTGCTGATACAGGCTCCCTTGACACCGTCGCCTCCTTCGTAGCCGTCGTCGCCGTCCCATTCTGAGATTCAACCATCTCCGGCGGAGTCTTCTTAGATGGATCTGTAGTCCTGGGCGAACTGCTTGAGACCGGGGACACCATTGCCTCTACCCGATAATGTCTAGTTGCCAGGGATATAGATACATCTGGATCCGGCCCAAGTTCGTCCAAATGTGCAGCTGTCGATATGGTCTGTTCCTCATTTCCGGTTGCCACCTCTGCAGGTGCCGATTTCCTCCTTTTTGGACTCTTTGATTGGGTCGCCGCCTTTGAAGTTGCTTGTGGTTGTGATTCGGATGTGTGAAAACGTCTCCGATGTCTCTCTAGATCGGCCTTACGTCCACATGTCTGGTCACACTGATCGCAAGGAAATCTTCCTCGGCTGCGTTCCCCAGTGTCACGACTACGCTCCCTAGAATCTTTCCGGCTTCTAGGAATGTACTCGACATTCTGATTCTCCTTGGCCACGGAACAGTGTGCTATATGCATTTGAAGGCACCTCATCTCACCGAACGTCTTTTTGCATGCAAAACATTCAAGTCTCGCTGGTCTACAGCTGCTCATCTTCTGCAAGCAAGAAATAGGCATCTTTACTACTTCTAACAGACACTATACATATAAAAGTCTTGGAACTTATTCGGAATCGATCGTTTTCTGCGTGGTCGCGAATTATCACCTAGAGCCGTACTCCCTACACCATTTAACAGATCAATATCACCTGAACCAGCAGGAGTCAACTCCTGTGCTGGGTGTTCTTCGGCTCCTGAATCCTCTTCGCCACCGCTCTCATCTGACTCTCTAATGGCATCATCAAAATCGCCGCTTCTATCCCGACACGGTTTTAACCGATCAACGTGCACTATCTGTTTTCGGCCACCCCCAACTGGACAAACTTCGTAGGTCACGTCGGACACGATCTTCGTCACGGAAAAAGGACCGCGCCAAAACGCAGTCAACTTAGGACTAGTACCGGGCGTGACAGTCGGGAAATAAACCCACACACGATCTTTTATTTTCAGTTTCCTGTTTGCGGACCTTTGATCGTAATACCGTTTCTGGCGCAGTGCAGAAGCCCGAGTAAACTGTCGAACATATGTGTAAGCCTGTTGCAGAGATTGTTGGACAAAGGTAACCCACTGCCCTACAGTTTTTTTGCTCTCCTCAGGTACCTTTCCAATCATCACATCCACCGGCATAGCAATTTCCCGCCCTAACATCAGGTAGTTCGGTGTGAAGTTTGTTGAATCGTGTACTGACGACCTGTAAGCCATCATCAAATATGGCAGCTGAACGTCCCAGTCAGTCTGATTTTCTTTCACGTAAGCTTTTAACATCTCCTTCAACGTCCTATTAAACCGCTCTATTTTTTTGCTTCCGTTTTTATGTGTTCATGTGTTTGTAAAATTTGTACATACCCTTTTGAGTAACAGTTGGCCGGGACGTCCAACCCGGAGGCGTGGGTAGTGTAATGTTTTGTGCTTTATATAAATTTGCACTATGTCATGGTCCTCGTAATTTTGATGTTAATTGTAAAAACGTTTGTTATTTCAGTGCACGCTAATATTTATTTGTTTTTGTATATCGATTTACCTGTGAATCATTTGAGCGTAACGTATTGTAGCATTGCTCTGTATATAAGCGTAATACCTTTTGTCCATGCACGAGCTTTTGTAATTGAATTGAATTCATATAGCATACGCCTTTAGTAACGATAAGGGAGTACGTCCTCATTGTTGAGGTTAACCTACGGGTATATAAGGCCGGAATTTCAGTGTCACAGGTCTCTCATTCGCTGGAGCTGATAAAGGACACAAGGATAGTTGGTGAGCAACCAGGGCATGAATACGGTGCACATGGTAACGCAGTGAGGAAAAACTGACATCGCCAGCAAATCCGGGTATATCGCTGAGGTATAGAGTTTGGCGAAGACGTCAGGGTTTGGCGTAAGGGGCAACGCGGGCGCCGGGAGATTGGCGACAGGTTGCCAAGGACGCCGGTTAAGAATATCACGGGACGGGCGAAAGAGGGATAGTCAACGGCGATGTGGGTGCCTCACACTGCGTTGTCAATGTACTTTTAAAGATACGCTGTTACTGACGCCGGCGTAATGCGGGCGTAACGCCGTCATTGCGCCTGCCAAGTCTGTTTAGGCCAGTAACACCAAATTTGCCGGCGCATTACTTAACTTACGCATAATTTCACACCTAGAGGCGTACTCCCAATAGCAACGCAAATACTGTCTACTTAATGTCTACTGTGAGAGTATTATTTGTAGAAATGTCCTTTGTGAACTGTGTCAAATAAAACCTGTATTTGTCGACAACTGTTGTTTGTGAATAATGTGCGGCTACGCCAACTCGGCAGAGGGCGCTCTCGAAAGCAACTGATAGCCAAAAGGACCCGGACTGAAAAGGAAATCCCTTACATTTTCGGGGGTTGCAAGAAACGTCACAACACCGGAGTTCGTTCTGTATATTTATTACGATCATAAGGACGACACCCTGTAACAAATACAAATAGAACACATAACACTCTTGCCTCTTACATACTATAAAAAAAACAACAACAAGGGGAGGTAACTCGTACAAGTTAAAAAAGCGATCTTATTAACTGAAATATGTCACTGTACATTTCGTTTATCTCTTATAATTATACATATAATCTGGTATGAGGCTATATGCTTGGTTATTACAAAATATAACAATATATATCATACCTGCATGTAGTGCAGGGCCGATGATCGTCGAACCACACTCAATAAACTGAGGATCAGGATCACATTCTAAAAATAACAACATACACACTCTTACACACCGATATACACAAAGTCAACAGATATATAAAAAAACTCTCATGAGATAGACACATCTGACCATCATGTACTTTGACAATGAGACTTCATATCACACACGTTTAGCCATTGCCAATTGCATAAATTCAAATAAATAAATAAATAGAGTAAATAGAGTAAAGTGTGAGATTAATAGTAAGACATTATAGATAATAAGACTTACATTAAATCGTCTGTCTTTGTCGGAGCCAGATCTATAGCACAACTGCTAGTTCCAAAACAAACTTGTCATCTGGCAAATCCCCGCCAACTGACCACACAAAGAACAACAAACACAATGACCACACCAACTGACCAATCAGAACACAAGACATAATAAAACACTATGACACTAACGCCACCAAAGGCAATCACACCTTCGGACACGGACGGACGCGGATATATATATATAACGACGTCAACAATAAAATAGGCAAAGCGAAAGCTGGTACTTACGACATGAAGTAATTATATTAAATAAAACAATAACAAATAACCCTGTTACATCCTCCCCTGCTTCGGAAAATGTCGTCCACGACTAAAGACATTCCTAGGAATGCTGCTACTTACATAGCATAAATGTAAAACTTTCCTGCAAAACTGAAAATAATAATAAAATCATCTAAAAACAAGAAAATCTGGAACTATTAATCAAGAAAATCTGGAACTATTAATCAAAAAGGCAGAACAACTCAAGTCTTCCCAGCAACAATACTCAGAAGAGCAGAGACAACCCTGTCATCCTGTCTGTCCAGAGATCCCACTTCTACTAGTTCCGAAAGGAATCTGGCACGACTTCGCCACTCAGGCTCACCCAGTTGCTGTTTCAGCACATATCGGTCATCTCTCATCCAGGCGGGTTTGGCCCGACTCCTCAGTGACCGTCTGGGTGCCACAGGACTTGCCTGGCGATCAGCTGGTGGCTCCAATTCTTCGGGTTGCTCAACAGGTTCTTCTATCTCTTCTGGTTGCTGCTCATGCACAACATCCTCGGGCACTGTGGTAGTGGCTGGTCCGGAAACGATGTTGGGTCGAACATCAGTCGTAACCACTACCACTTCCTCCTCCTCCGAAGATGAAGTGGAACCTTCGTCACTAGAAGGTTCTCCCCTAACAGGCGCTCTGGGTTTCCTCACTCGAGGAGTGGGAACCGGCCTCTCTGGTGGCTTGGGTGGAGCAGTGTCCATGTGCAGGTAACCTATGGGTAAGAGAAGGTTCCTATGGAGAGTTCTTGTTCTTCCCTCCCCGTTTTCCCTCCGTACCACATAGGAAGGTATTCCAGGATGAGGCTGCTCTATCACGATGTAAGGATCTTCTTCCCATCGGTTGGCCAGCTTATGTCTTCCTTCAAAGGCGACTATTTTGACAAGCACCCTATCTCCCACATTCAGTACAGCTTCGCGGACCCGCTTGTCGTAGTTGTTCTTCTGACTGGCTTTGGCCTGGTCGGAATGAGCTACTGCCAACTCATAGGCATGCCGTAGTCGCTGACGCAGGTCTTCGGCATACTGAGAAACGGTACCACCTTCTTGCTCACTCCCGACACCAAACGCAAGATCGACAGGTAATCTGGGGTTCCGTCCAAACATAAGGAAGTAAGGGCTCTGTCCTGTTGATTCCTGGCGGGTACAGTTGTACGCATGTACCATACTTGAAACATGAGCTTTCCAGTTAATCTTCTGCTCAGCTGACAGTGTCCCCAACATTCCAAGTAAAGTACGGTTAAACCGTTCACAGAGCCCATTTCCCATAGGATGGTAAGGGGTAGTATGGGACTTTTCAACTCCAGTGATCTTGCAGAGTTCCTTCAAGATGTTGCTTTCGAAGTTGGGTCCTTGATCTGAATGTATCCTACGGGGAAGACCATAATGGACCACAAAGTGACTGAAAAATACTTCCGCCGTAGTACGCGCTGTCATGTTACGAGTAGGCACTGCGATGGCGTATCTGGTAAAATGATCTGTCATGACAAGAATGTTCTCGATGCCACCCTTCGATGTTTCCAAGGAAAGAAAATCCATACACACTAGTTCCATAGGTTGGCAAGTTTTTATGGATACTAGCGGCGTGCAGACTCTCGCCGGTGTTTTCCTTAGAAGACACCTGTAACAGTCCTTGATCCATCTCTCCACATCCTTTGTCATTCCTATCCAGAAATACCTGTCCCTCACAAGTGATAGTGTTCTGTCCCGACCCTGGTGTCCGAAGTCATCATGTAGCATGGTGAGGATTTTGGGGATGACAGTTCTTGGAAGGACTATCTGGCTCCTTGCAGTGCCATCATCTATAATATCCCGGCAAAGTACACCATCAATGAGTTTAAACTTCTCAAAGTTCTTCAACATCGCTTGGTGTCCAGTTGCAGATGGCAGATCATGTCTGGCAGGCTTAAGTCCTGACTCCACACACTGAATCCAAAAGCCTGTGAAAGGGTCCTGTAATTGCTCTTCCCTCAATCCCTGAACTGGCTGTAACACTGCAGTCTCTTGTATTTTTCCAAGTGCTTGTGCTGATACAGCAACAGTCTCGATGTAAGGAGTAGCGTTGATGCCCTTGCTTAAAGCCTGTATAATATCCTTGGAGATGACTACTGGCTCCTCATTGGGCAATGTTGGATGACGCGACATCCCGTCAGCATCAGCATTACTCACACCTGGCCTGTACAGGATGCTGAAGTCATAAGCGGCCAAGGCTGCAACCCATCGCTGTGATGTTGCATCCAGCTTGGCGGAGGTAAGAATATATGTTAACGGATTGTTATCTGTATAGACTGTGAATGGGCAAGCGACGAGGTAATCCGAAAACTTGTCCGTGACAGCCCACTTGAGAGCAAGAAACTCCAGCTTGTGTGTGGGGTACCGATGCTCTGCTTTCGTCAATCTTCGACTAGCATAGGCTATAACTCGCTTGACTCCATTCTGTTCCTGGTATAATACAGCCCCTAGTCCAAGTCCCGAAGCATCCGTGTGAAGGGTAAATGGCTTGGTGAAATCCGGATAACTGACGATAGGTGGTCCAGCAAGACAAGTCCTAAGAGCTTGAAATGCCTCCTCCTGTTCCTCTCCCCATACCCATGGGTGTTGGCCCTCTGGTTTCTTCCTGGAGTTCTTCCTCTTCTTCACAACAGGGTTCATCAGAATGGTCAACGGACGGGCGATGCGAGAGAAGTTCTGGATGAATCGGCGATAGTAGCCAACAAAACCTAGAAATTTCCTGACTTCATCCGAGTTCTCGGGTGTTGGCCACGCTGTAATCTTCTCCACCTTCTCTGGGTCTGGCTCAATTCCATCCTCCGAGACTATGTGTCCAACATACTTCACCCTGAAAGAAGGAGCACTTGTCAGGCGCAAGCTTCATTCCACTTTCCTCCAAAGTCCGAAATATAACATCAAGTCGATGTAGCTGCTCATCAAAAGATCCAGAGAATATTATGACATCGTCTATATAGATGTAGCAATACTTGGTGTGATACTGATGCAGTACTTCTTCCATCAGTCGCTGGTA